ACAATTACTAAAAAAGTTAGTCAGAAAAATTTTTTTAGCTGTTTTGCGTTGAAAAAAAAGATTTCTAAAAAACGGGACAAAAATTCTTGAAATACCCCAAATTGTAAGAATTTTTTTCGCAATATACTAATAAAAAACTAAAAATAGTTGTTGTGTCTTCTCTGGTTTTTTTTTAATAACATAATGGAAATGTTTTAACTATTTAAAAGCTACATAACTTTCATCCAGTTTTTTTTTCTGTGCATAACCTTTGAAGGTTTACAGAACAGCTCTTTATTAACTTCTGATAGTCACCAGATAATTCGTTAACACAAGTTTGGGTTATCAACTGCTGTTTCCAAATAAATTTTCTCAAACAGTAAAACTTTAACCAGCTTTGCTTTATTATTTTTAAATTATTTGTTTTAGAAACTGCAGACTAAACTAGTCTTTGGTTTGGTCCCCAAATTTGACAGACAATTAAAGTATAAAAAAAAATTATGTTTTTGGATAACGTAATTTAAAAAAAATGAGCTAAGAACCTTAAACTGCTAAAGTTTTAATCTTTCAATAAAACAGTAAGAGTTTTTCGGTCTTCTTCGCTGCTCTAAAATCACCAACCCTTTTGCTTGGTGAGTAATTCAAAAACCAGCCGGCCAACTAAGTTTTCATCAATTATTGAGAAAGTGTTCATTCAGTTGAGTCTGAAAGCATATGCTTCAAATGTATTAAAGCAGAAAAAAAAGAGTTAATTACTGTAAGGTGTAAAGTTTGGAGAACCAATTTTGAAAAATTCAACTAAAGAATTCACGTTGCACAAACTTACATATTTACTAAAACTAACTTTGAAAAACAACTTTATTTGTTCTAGTTTGTTTTAATTTGCTGTATTCTTAATTAAGTTTATTACCTTCATGCCGATTTCAAACAATTTTTTTCACTCGTCAATCTAATTTACTGCTGAAAAACCTTGAATAATTTTTTAACAGTAAATCAGTGATTTGCGGGTAATTTATGAAGGTCTGTTCAAAAGAATTGAAGAACAGAGGTCAAAGAGAGTCAGATATAGTCTTAAGATAGCGGCTAAGATAAAAACGGCAGTCATAATATCTGTTGATAACTGGGCACAAACGGAGGAAAAAAAAAGGTCAAAGAATACAGTTCAAAAATTGTTTTCATAATTCTGTTTCCTCTTTCAGCACGAATTTAAAGTGGTGCTGCAGTTTTTGTCAAGCGTCATTCTTTGACGACTTACCACAGCTACTTAATTTTTAAGCAATGTGCTCACTTCCGATTTTTTTCCTCTTCTTAAAAATACAAACTAGACAATAAGAAAATGTATTCCGAATTTGTGGAGATTAACTTTTTTATTTAGTATGGAATATTTTTCAATTTTTAGGGAATATGTGCTTAATTCTTTTCACATGGTCATTTGTTATTTGCTGATGTTTCACGGTAAGAGGATCGTTTAAGTTTTTTTCAGGCACAAAAATTTCTGGAAAAGTATAATAGTAACTTGTTAAAAATAAATAAAATTAATGTATTTTTCTAGATCAACTGTAAACTTAATAACCCGGTACATGTAATAGATGCTTTTTTGTGCATAAATTTTGCAAGCTTAGAGTTCGACTTGAAAGGAATGGTTCTAAACATTGTTGACCAGAAAAATAATGTTTTTTTTCAAAAGCACATTACGAATTCTATAACGTAAGAAGGAGCAAATCAAGAGAATTTTTAAACCAAGCTTTGTTTCTCTTGAACTTCACAACGAAATACCCTGAGTCTCAGAAACAATTAATGCAAACAGGTAAGAAATTTAGATTGTTCTAAAAATTGTTCTTGCGGTTAGAGCATAAAGAAGATCAGTCTTTTCTATAAAGTGTGCAGAAACAGAAAGAAAATATTCCAAAAGATTTTTGAAAACTTCTGACTGGTAGGTTGCTGACGACAGCAATAGTTGCAATAGTAATCAGAAGCGTAAAAAATGAATGTTTTTT